TTTCCTATCTCAATTCTTACGTTACACCATTATCACTGACGCTACTGAGCATTTTAATTCGACATCAGTTATCTCACGAGCAGATTATTATCTTGTAATTCGGAAGCTCCGGCCATCGGTGACCGCCGTGGCAGTCAACGTGTTAATACATTGCATACCGGTAACGAGAAATCCCGTTTTTATATAAAGACACTTAGCTATGCAATTTTGCTAATTACTACAGTACTTAAAAATATGAAATTTGATTCAAATTGGTTATCTATTTAAAATATATCACATAACAATATATCTGAGTTTTTCTATGTATAGTGATATAAGTTGACCTCAGTGAAAATTGCCGTCCGCACAATTCAGTTTTCCGAGAATTAGCCGTACACAATGTGTTAACCCTTTGAACTCTGTGGGCTCCAATATCGCACCAATTATAATATTAAGTATTTTAATGAATCTTAAATAAACTACCCTAAAATTATTCGATTTTCCATACATCAGAATTTTGTACTAACGAAAATAAAAGATCGAAGTTTTCTGGAAATTAGCCGGTACGCAATGCGTTAAGAAGAAAGTAGTTAGATCGATGTCAGTTTACAAAGAAATCATAGGGCAAGGGGTTCAAGCCGACCAGTAACCAAACGAAAAGAGCAACGCGAAGCGCAGCAGGAATGAACGCGATTATCGCGTACAGTCGTAGCTGTTCAACTCGATTGTACCCCACGAATTCTCCGCCGGTACGCGCGATAAAGTTTCAACGGTTGTAGACGGCAAGAGCCGTCGCGTTCCGCGCTGAACGGGTTAACACCCGCCCCGTTTACCCTATTTTCCCGTTTTCCCCGTTCCGCGCCGGTCGACGCGCGTACACCTACTTAGCCGTGCCGTTTAATCGCGCGGACAATTAGGAGTTCTCGAACAAGCCGGCGCAGGGGGTGCGGGAACAACGCGACGCGACGTCGTCGACGAGCGGCGCGCGGCGCGCGGACGACGGACCCGATCCGTTCGGGTCGCACGGGCTGCGGTTAAACGGGGGGAATAAAAATGATCAACTCAGTCCCGTTCACCGATACACGCGAACGCAATCTAATTTGCGTAACGGCGAAATTAGATTGATAGAACACGCACGCGGTATTGGTGGCGGTTTAACCGGCGGTGCTCGGTGAACAGGAAAAGAGGAAAAGGCGGAAAGGGACTTTCGCACTTTCATCCGATTTATATGAATTTAATCGCGTTAAAACGTACCGCAATCTTAAGCCGCCTTACCAATAATTTGTCCAATATAACCGGCTACGGTTGACGGGTTTCAGCCGATCGGGAAGCTTCGAATGGCACGGTAATTCCGGGGGGGGGGATAGCCATGTTTCCTTTGGAGCGCGTGTTCCAATGAGAACTCGCGGAGGAACCTTCTCAACTGCAGATTTTCATGATACTCGCGCGGGGTGCAGGTGTCCGGGAAATATTCGACGTGTTTTTCTCGGCCGGCGTCCACTTTGAAGGATCAATGACACTCGATATCGAGGGCCGGTGTATTTTATATGAAACTATGGGGTGTACGAGAGAAATCGGAATTATTCTGGAATTATTATTGGGGAATAATCGATTGTAGGAAATATACTTTTAACCGTGAAATTTCAGTTTCATCCCTTCAAAGTGGATGTTGTTAAGAAAGTGTCAAATATTTCAAAATGTTTAACGTTTCATTGAACTCGGCTGGTTGAAAAGATTCCGTTAGAACTATAGAGATTTGATTTCCGAATAAACAGCGATTACTGTTTCCACAAAATCATCGACGGGAATTAACCCTTTGTACTCGAGAGACAGTTGTTTGATCCGATATGACAAAATTACAGAGTGTCGTATATAATATTAAGTTTCGCGGAATAAATCAGTATCTGAAATATTTATATAAAAAAGCTTTGTTCCTCGATCCACGTGTTCTTTCTCATTACTTCGTTTCAAATAGTGTCTACGTCTCGCCGGAAACTGAGTCGAATGTTTCCGATAAAAAGCTTCCGAGTGCGAAGGGTTGAAACTACGAATGTAAAACACCGACGGCAATTGTACTTGCGTGAATTGTTTGCACGCGATAATTGACCTCTCTGCCCCGGTGCTTCGACATCTCGATGGTTCAACGGTTTAGGTGCGAACACGAGGCAGAGAGGAACAAATGGCACGCGCGGAAGGGAACGGAAGGAAATACCGCGCTCGTTGCTTTCGCAGGAACTCGGGCAACACCTGGAGATGGTCACGTCACTGGGAGTGAACATCGGGCAACTGGGCTGGCTGAAGTTCGACGTGACCAGGGTGGTGAACAGTTGGTACACGGCGACCGGAGATTCGGCGAGGGACAAGCTGACGTTGCTGGTCGATTGCACCGGATGCGGCTCCCACGTCTACGTGTCGACGTTCGACGGACACTCGCCGCACGTGATCGAGTCTTCGTTGAACGCGAAAGGTAGAAAACGCGTCCCGTTACGTTCGTGTGTGTACGTGTACCTGTCTCACGCTGCCGGAGAATCACTCTTGTTCTCGTTTGCCTGTGAACAGCAGATTGTTGACATTCCCTGATAACAAAAGATCACCGTTTCTATGGAATAGTCGAGCAATGATTAGATTGTCTTGACTTTGACACGTTCACTGCCATGGTGGTCACCGATGACCGGAGCTTCCAAATTGCTGACAACCACAATAAAAAACTTGATTTCAAATCTAAATATTTAGTAACATAAGTAGCTAGATCATAGCATAATACGACTACTTTAATACTAAATCATTAATAATTATTTTCAATATCATTTGCCTTTGTTATGAAAGAATAAGTAGTACCATAGAAAACGCTAGAAATTTCCCTGGCAGTCAACGTGTTAACACTAACCGAATAATAAGCAGAATAAGAATTTCCAGTGAAACATCAGTAGTACGTGGTACAACTTTGATTCTAACCAAGCTGAACATCCTCCATAATAATCATTCATATGATAAATGTAGGAATGTCAAGAAATCTGTTACAATTTTTCTAAAAACATGTCAATTATACTGTACACTCGGTGGTTCTATCGTTAACACTAACCATAGCAGTTTTCCTATCGTAACTAGTCAAATAGTTGACTGCAAAATAGAGAAACAAGTTAGACGATAAATTTGTTTTAGTAGAAACGGGAAGAAGAGGAAGGATGAAAATTGAAAAACAAATTAATCGGATAATATGGGAATTATTTCCAATCATTAACACTAAACCTACCGAGCAGTTGAATTGACATTTTGAAGTTCTTCTATAGCAACTTCAAGGGTGGATCTATCGAGACTTTAATCGATTTACAATTCCGTTTGCGTATTGCTAAATCAATTTCTTGAATAATTTCCCAGAGAAACCTCTGTTATCTTTCTAATACTTAGAAAAAGAAGAAACCCAAAAACGGGTCATTTCGACCCGTCTGATGGGTTTGGTGTTAACCCCTTGGCCTACAACGAGTAAGATTCGTGGTGAAGATTTCCAACACGATTCAATAAATATATATAGCACTCAGTTCATTCGAATTCGAAGTAAACATTATTCCTCAATCAACTATTATACTTAAAAGGAAATATAGGTATAACATATGATTAGAATTTTTCTCCAATAAATTATTAATCCTTTGCACTCCAAAGTTTTTTACTGGGAATATTCAAGATTTTCCAACGAGCTACAGACCACGTTTGAACCTAATCTAACGATAATTCACAGATAAATTAAGCAACAAAGATATTTCACTTCAATGCTTCACATAACAACACAAAGTTTAATTTAAAGTACTAAATATTCAACTTCATAGTTTTGATGTATCAAACGGTGACTGAGAGTCACTTCTCGAGTGCAAAAGGTTAACGACAAAGTAGCCGTATCGGTCAGAGTTGAGAAAGAAATCAAAGGCCAAGGGGTTAACGGGGTTGTCTGCTATTCGCAGCGTCAGTTTGCTTGAGAAGTTCGGCGACACCGAGCGCAGAGCCGTCCGACTCAAGATTCATCGTGTTTCAGGTGCCCAAGACCCGGACAGGCCTTTCTTGGTGGTGCGCACGGATCCAGCGGCGGTGAAGCGCGTGAGGAGGCGAGCGGTGGAGTGCAGCGGCGCGATCAAGGGCCAGTGCTGCAAGCAGAGGTTCTACGTGAATTTCTCGCAGCTCGGCTGGGACGACTGGATAATCGCTCCCCAGGGGTAAGAGAATGTAGCGTTAGATTTTAGACGCTACAGACGTATCTCCGCTGCGAGGACTGGAACCAGAATGCAGTCGATTCTTGGGGAATCGGCCGATTCCGTTATTCCTCCCGCCGCTCCGGGAAAACTCCATCCGTCTCGAAAACACCGGACCGCCGTCTCTCGCGTAGACTTTTTGTGGCGCCCTTTTCGGGGGTGCGGACAGCGAGCTTGAAGCGTCCTTCGAGAGGGACGACTCAGGGGCGCAAGAATTTCGAAATGTCCGCTTCAGGAGGGAACGGAGATCTATATATCGTTGTCGCGCGACAACGTAGGCCAATTATAATAATTCGGATTAGCGACGTGCGATCGGCGCTCCGCGATCGAACACCGCTCTGCGGAATAGCTCTTCGCTTCGGCTCGCGTGTCGCGCGGCTTTCCTTGTCTGGCGACGTGTTTAACGGTATCGGTCGATAGCCGGAGTCGATAATCGTGCCGAGTAATATTATCCGGGCGGCGTGTTCCACGGGCGGAAAGAGGAACGTTAG